TTAAGTTGGCGGTCACACCAGTTAGAGTCAAGAACTGTGCAAGATCATTATCATCAAAAAATGAAAGGCTGAATACTACAAAATCAGCTCAGCAAGCACATAGCACAAGACAGTGTACTGCATTGCAAGAACTCTGCATCAAATCGTTATCATCAAGAACACAAGAAAGCTGAACATTCTTCGAGATCTCTGTCCACCAGAAGAACACAACAAAGAAACATCTTGAACGTCAATCAAGTACTGTGTGCAAGATCTGTGTCATCAAGAACAGTCGAATGAGTTGTTACTCACTAGTGAGTCTGTTCTTGTTTTGTTCTTGCTTTGTTCATTTTTGCAATGTATTTGTTGTCTAGAAAAGTCGAATGAATTGTTGTTTACTAGTTAGATTGTTCTTGTTTTGTTTAGCTTTGTTCAATTGTATTGCGTATGTTGTGCTGGCTGTTCAGTTTTAACAGAGAAATTACCAACAACGATTCCTGGGAAGAAATGCGTCGCTAGAGTATTTGTTTCATCATGTGTTCACACACTTTTTTGTACATACCATAGTCTACCATGAAAGTTGTATCGCAAACCACTACATTTGTTCCAGATTTGAGATTATTTTTGATCCTTTTTGCCAATTGTTTTACATAATTTGATGATTTTTTGGGCCATCAGCAGCACAAACTACACAGTCAGTTTACTGTGCACTTTGCACAGTTGACTGTGCCTTTTGCATAATCAAGTTCAACACTACTGTGCAAATTGCACAGCTATAGTAGTACAACTGTGCAAACTACACAGTACAATATAAACTACTGTGTAGTTTGCACAGTAGCCAATGAAACTACACAGTACACTGTGTACTTTTCTGAAAAGTACACAGTTGTACTGTGCAGTTCACTGTGCAAAGTGCACAGTAAACTGTGCAGTTTGCACAGAAATTTTTTGCGTTTTCACAAAAACTCTTGTGATTTTCAATGCGTTCAACCAAAAAATGCAATATAGTTGAAACAAACAGTGTGTTTGTAATGGTGATCTCTCCAAAGGGATCAGCGATGAAAAAGGGACCGCAAAAGGATGAAACCGATGAGCATGGTCAACAAAGAAGCTTCAGTTGATTCATATGCCTAATGCTGACCTAATAACAATAATTGGCCCGTGAATAATACTAAATCTGTTCAAAAACAGGTAATAAATTGCAACCAAATAATACTAAATTCTTTCTGGGCCCTGATTTTCAGCTGCTTCCAGACCTTGATTCATCCAAGCTGACTCTGAGCTTTCAGTTGATTCCAAAACCTGATTGTTTTGGTGGTTTCTTTACAATTCTTTCAGATTTTCTTCTGGTTGAAACGCCTTAGCTTTATTGAAGCAATCCTTTCTGGATGTCTGATTTGGCTGTCGCATGTTCCTTTTAAAAATGCTTATTTGGGGATTGCCCTTTGCAGCCTGAAATCAACCCGCAAAGACCACCCCCCCACAAGCAGCCCAAACCTTCAATTACTCCAGACCTCAAATAAGACTAAACAATCCCTGGCTGGTTCTTTTGGCGGTTTCCTTTACAATTCCTTTTGATGTCCTTTTTGTTAAAAAGCTTGAGCTTTATTGAAGGCAATCCTTTCTGGATGTCTGATTTGGCTGCTGCACGTTCCTTTGAAAATTGCTTAATTGAGCATTGGCATTTGTAATCTGAAAATAACCCGCAAAGACCACCCCCCACTTTAGTTTTGTTGAGGGCTATGGTCGTTTAGGTTCAGCCGCTATACAATTCCTGGAGCACTACTTGCATTGATTGCTTTCATGTCCTTTCCTTCTATTTTCCGTGCATTTCCTTTCCTGTAATTTCCTTTCGTGTACTTTTCATCTTTTTCATTTCTAGTTCAAATGAATATTTTCTGGATGTTTATGGATTTCACTGATTTCACATTATTTAGGGCCCGAACTTGATCAACGGGGGCGGGGAGGGGGGGTTTATTGTTTAGAGGTGGACATTACACCTGATGGCACAGCATCCAAGGTTTGACAGAAAGGAGGCCAAGCTTCTTTCGAGGCACACAAACAAACACACAAAAGCACAAAACACATACGATCAGAAAAACAAGCAAGCCAACAAAAACACAACAAACATCACCGAGCAAATCAAAAAAGCAAACAACAAACAAGCAAACAAAAGCAACAAGCAAACAAACAAACAAACAAACAAACAAACAAGCCACGCAACGCAACCCAAAAAAAAACACCCAAACACAACAAAACACTGCAAACAAAAAGCAACAAACAACTACAACACAAACACCCAACTGTGCAAACTGCACTCTGAACTGTGCAATTTGCACTGTTCAAGTTTGAGCTCTAAAGACCAACTGTGCAGTTTGCACTCTGGAGAGTGCAAATTGCACAGTTGTAGCCCGGACTAAATGATCATTTACTCTCCGAGAATTTAGTCGGGATCCGGCCGGACTAAATGATCATTTACTCTTTAGTCCCCGGACTAAATCCTTAGAAGAGTAAATGTAGACTCAAGTGATCTATCAGGTGGGAACCTTGGAGCAAAGTTGTGGGAAGGTTGTGGAACAAAGTTGTGGGAACCTTGTGGAACCTTCTTGTGGGAACCTTGCAGGAACCTTGGGAACCTTCTGGGAACCTGGCGGGAACCTGGCGTGAGCCTTGTTGGAACCTTGTGGGAACCTGGCGGGAACCTTGGAACCTTGTTGGGAACCTTGTGGGAACCTTGTGGGAACCTAGGAACCTTGTGGGAACCTTGCAGGAACCTTGGGAATCTTGTGGGAACCTTGTGGGAACCTTGCAGGAACCTTGCAGGAACTTTGGGAACCTTGTGGGAACCTGGCGGGAACCTAGGAACCTTGTAGGAACCTGGCGGGAGAAACTTGGGAACCTTGTGGGAACCTTGTGGGACCCTGGCGGGAACCTGGGAACCTTGTGGGAACCTTGGGAACCTTGCGGGAACCTTGTGGGAACCTGGCGCGAACCTAGGAACCTTGTGGGAACCTTGCAGGAACCTTGGGACCTTGTGGGAACCTTGCGGGAACCTGGCGGGAACCTGGCGGGAACCCAGGAACCTTGTGGGAACCTTGTGGGAACCTTGGGAACGTTGCGGGAACCTTGCAGGAACCTTGGGAACCTTCTGGGAACCTGGCGGGAACCTGGCGTGTGGGAACCTTGTGCTTGGGAACCTTGGGGGAACCTTGTGGGGCAAAGTTGTGGGGACCTTGTGGGAACCTTGGAGCAAAGTTGTGGGAACCTTGGAGCAAAGTTGTGGGAACGTTGTGGAACAAAGTTGTGGGAACCTTGTGCTTGGGAACCTTGGGGGAACCTTGGAACCTTCTTGTGGGAACCTTGTGGGAACCTTGTGGGAACCTGGGAACCTTGTCGGGGACCTGGGAACCTTGTCTTTCGAAGCTGCTCCGAAGCCTTTACTATGGCTGAAGACCCCAAAGCATTCTGCTGTTGGGGAAAAAACAGGAAGCTGCCGGAAAAGATGAATAAATGACGTGAGATAGGAGGTGTAAGTACCAGGAGGCATGATGAAACATGATGCGCAGGCCGATTCTTATGTCAATTCCCCTCCCTCCCTGAAAAATAGTAGAAAAACATTAATAAAATGCTTGATCATCAGCTGGCGACAATTCCCAAGTCATGAGGCTTGAATCAGCAACTCTGCAATTTTTGTGTTCCCAACGACTTAGGTAGTGGGCCACAACTACTATGTCACTGGCCCACACAAGTCCTAAGTCACCGGTCGGTCCGGTAGTATAGATGTACTGTACGCACTGTACGGGCACTGCTGCGTTCTTCACTAACCGGTCTCTCCCAACCTGTCAGTTACTTCTGTTTGGTGCTCCCGTCGCTGCCACCTTGGGCTGGTCTTTTGCGCTTGCGCGCGCACCATTGACTCCCCGTGACATGGCTCTTAGCTGGTCGGGCTGGTGCCTTTTGGGTTGCATTGCACGCACCTTTGCGGCATGGTGTCAAGCTGTGGATGCAGTCACTGTTTGGAGATGGACTGGTCATGTTCTCCGCACGAGCCCCAATGTTGAACCAAACCCGCCTCGTGTGATTGCGTCTCTGAAGACAAGTCCAGGTTGTTTGACGCCACACTCACTGCACGCAGCCCATTTGCAATATGCACCAGTTTCAAGGTGCCCGTTGGCAGCCCCATCATGACGATGTCCGAGCTCTTTACCTCACTCAACACACTCTGCGTGACGCATCACCCTCAACAATGTACCTTACCCAACCCGCTGACGCAACATCGGCTGAGGTTTGACTTCCAGATTCTAGCGGAGCTTACCCGCAACGCTTGAGAAGGAAAGTGACCAGTTTGTCAATGATCAAGCGGATCGATCGAATTTAATCAAAAAAGGATGCGCCCCACATTCTGAAATTAATTGCGGGGTGGGGGGTGTCTCTCAATTAATGTAGTCCCTTGATTTATAAACCCCCCCCTCAACAACCAAGGCCTCCAAAATAATATATAAGAAAATCAATCAATTGATAATTAAATAAGGGATCCTTAGCTAGCTACCTCTCTCCAAATCTCAATGGAAATCCTCAGAAGCCTCCAAATGTGATTGTTTGTTTCCTTTGCTTCCTGAACCTTGTTTGATTGCTTGTGGACGCCGCTTTCGCTACCTTTCAAGGGATCCCTTCCGCCATTTGTCTTTGCATCCAATGCGATGGCTACGCGCGCTTGCTGAAAAGGCTGCTGTGGTGCGGCTGTCTTCACGAAGCGGAGGCTTCGATTTGCTACCGAAACTGGTAGCGGAGCCTTGTGCTCCTGGTTCCTGGGTCGAAGGGCCCACACACACGCTACCACTGCCTTGACTCCCTCGATTACACGAGCGGCTGCTTGGCACCTCCCTGTGGCTTGGTTTCGTTCCTTTAAGGTTGCGGCCTTCCTGGTGTTCTTCCTGGTCTGGTTTGGTTCACCTTCGTGTTTGACGACCTCTGTGTCCCTGTCTACCTCATCACGTAGGGTGCCTCCTCCCTCCTTGGCTATGACGACCGTGACGGCCAAGGATGTCTATGTGTCTTGGAATGGCGATCTGAATACCTGGCCAGATTTCGTTCGAAAGGTGAGACTCCAGTATGAGAAGACGCAGCCAAGCAAACGCTACTTGCTTGGCCCTGAGCTTGTGAGTCGCTTGACGGACAAGGCTTGGCAGGCTTCGTACGAGATCGACCATGACCGCCTTTCTGGACGCCATGGAGTGAAGTACATGCTCAGCTTCCTTCGTGACAAGCTCTGCCGTGCACCGGTCCCCGATGCAGGGGCCCGCCTCGAGGATCTACTGATCCGACTCCGTCGACAGCCCGGTACTCCTTTTGCTCAATGGGCTCATGAGGTGAGAGAGCACTACCGACGACTTCAACGTGCCCTTCTCCGAGCTCGACAAGAAGCCCAACCTAAGGAGACCTCCATGAAGAAGAGCTCAAAAGGAAGCTCCAAAAAGAGCCATGGTTCAACAGCCACTGAACCGGAACCTCGACCTTCATCCACTGGCAGTGACCACTCGCCTTCGAGGAGTGTCCGTAGTCGAGAACCTGCCATTCCGGAAGATGAGGAGCAAGAAGAAGAAGACGGAGAAGAAGATGAAGTGGACGATGGCTCTCCTTCCAACCGTGGTGGCTGGAACACCTGGTGGCAATGGGGCAATCAGTGGACTGTTGAAGAGTGGAATGAGTGGCTTGGCAAGAAGAAGAAGCATGATGGCTCTGACTCCTGGTCTGCCTACGCTGAGGACGATGAGGACATGAATGTGCCCTGGGACGAGCTCGAAGTGAACGATGCTGAAGTTCTTCCTGATGAAGTGTTAGGATGGATCTTGCTTCGACGAGCTGGATTGTCCACTCAGAGCCGACTCTCGGTTCAGGCCTCAGTTGGGAACAGCCTCAAGTTTGAAGCAATTGAACGTGCTCTTCGTGACCAAGAAGAAGAACTTCTCGCAGCTGAACGACGACCAGTTGGTGGAAAAGGGCATGGATATAAGGGTTCAGCTCCAAGGAGAACGTTCTGGGTTGAACAGGATCGAGAATGGGGATTGCTGGATGGTGAACCTGATGAAGAATTACAAGTTCACTGGGTTGGCCACAAGCTTCCCGATGACGTTTACCAGCATCCCGCTCCGACCCATGAACCTATGCCTGAGGAAGAAGAGACCTATTGGGGTAGTGCTTCATGGGATGATGGTTCCTGGACTACCTCTTCGGCATGGTGGAATGACACCGAGGCTGAGTTTGAGTTCTCACCGGAAGAGCAGAAGCAGATTGATGAGGTCTATGCGGCCTATGAAGACAAGGTGAGGACTTTCGTGCAGGCCAGAAACCTGATGAAGAGCAAGACCAACAACCGAGGCTTCTTCCCGATGGTGAAAGGCAAGTTCTCCAAGGGCAAGGGCTCTTTCAAAGGAAAGCAAAAGGGAGGACCGTCTCCCGTGATGGCTGCCTCCTCCTTTCAAGGCAGCTCAAGCCCTGGCAAGGGACGACAACGTCCAGGTGAACCTGACTATACGGGATGCTTCATTTGTGGAGCTCGTGATCATTCATTCCAGCAATGCCCAAAGCGACATCAACGAAAAGGTGGTGGCAGTGCACACTATGTCGACGTTCTCTATGCCTCTCTGGAGAACGACACCTACACGACCAATGAATTTGACAGCTCGGTCTTCATGGCTCAAGACGACTCCATGGATGCTGAGGAAACCATTTCAGCGTGGACTGTTCAGCCCTCAGATGATCAGTTCCACGCGGTGATCGACTGTGGAGCTACCGAGACGGTTGCGTCCTTGCATGCACTGACGGCCATTATGAATCGCCGCCAGTCCAAGTTTGGCTATGAGGAGATCCGTGTCAACCAGGACGTCCGGAAGACATTCAAGTTTGGAAATGGACGCACTCTCCAAGCCACTTCATACGTTGAGATCCCACAGAGCATTGGTGGCACCCATACTTGGCTTGGAGTACATGCTCTGGACACGGACGATCGCTATGTGCCACTGCTCCTTGGCATGAGGACCCTTGAGAGGCTCGCAGCGGTGATCGATTTCGGCAGCAAGACTGCCAGCTTTTGTGCTGTGAGTGATGAATTGGTTCCGCTGCAACAATGTCAGCGGACAGGTCACTTGCTTTTAGATCTTTCCTCTGATTGGCTTGACGCCCGATTCGATGAGGTATATATGGAGCATCTTTCATCGTCACAAGCCATGGTTGTCGAGAATAGTAATCATCTAGATCAAGCAGAAGCCGGTCATATTGACGATTTTGCACATGAGTATCAGTTTGATGAACCCTTTGTTCCTCCTCCTTCACATCAAGAACTTCTTCCTTCCGAACCTCTTGTACTTGCTGAATCTCCCACGTCTGCAGGTTTTGGGTTCGAGTCTGAAGTTTGCGAGGGCACGAACCCGGGGATTTCACACGATAGCCATGTCCGGGACCCCGTCGACTACATGCAGTCAACCCGAGACACCGAAGAAGGTGACGGCGAAGGGGAAATCCAAAGGGCAGAAGAACCAGAAGCTGCCCGACGACCAGATCTACGACTTCGCCAGGAAGGAAGGGCCGGATCCCAGAGATCCTCGGTTCAAAGGAGGACCGTGCAAGGGCCAGCATGTGGAAGCCCCCTTCGGACGTGGCTCTCCATCCGGGAAGAACGGATGGGCAATGTGGAAGACATGTCAGAATTGCATGCTTCGCCTCGAGTACATCCCAGCATATGGCGCTCATGCCAAGTACAGGAGTGCAGGTCCTCTCAGCACCGACACCAAGGACCAGCTGATCGAGAAGGCGAACGAGATCGAGAAGGACCCTTCTGTGCTTCGTACAGCGGAGGTGGCTTTGGATGGCGCAGAGAGGAGTCTCCATCGACGTTTGGAGACCATCCAGAAGCAGAAGGAGGCCCTGAAGAAGGACAAGACCAAGGACGAGCCCCAAGCCATGAGAACCACTACACCAACTCAGAGGAAGTCGAAGAGGACTGGTTCTCAAGGTGCAGAGGCACTGGAAGCAGCAGCGGAGGAGTCGGACGGCTCTTGGACCGAGATGCCTCCGACGGGTGCGAACTGACCACGCCAGAGAGCGTGAAGTGTCTGGTGGCCGAGACGATGAATGACACTACGACGGCCATCAATGACAGCTTGCATGAATTTGTGAACCTTTCCTTTGACTCCATGCCTGGAGTGGTACTGTTTTCTCCTGAAGCGCGCAGCCTAGATCTTTTGGAAGTGTGCTGTCCTCCTGATAGCGCACTCGCAGCTATGGTGGAAAGACTCGGAGGATCTTCAGCCAGAGTGACCGAACACAACATGAATTTGAACTCAGTTGATGGCCTGACCCAAGCTATTAGCTTTGTGAGAAGAGAAAAGCCGAGATGGATGTGGCTATCCCTGCCTTGTGGGGCTAATAGTCCCATACAACATCTCAACGAGCTGACTGAACAAGCCTGGCTGAAATCTCTGGCTCGCCGGAAGAAGTCTAGAAAACTAGTCCGTCGAGCTCTTCAACTCCTTCGAGTGCATGTCTTTGAAAATGGTGGACACTTTGGTTGGGAGTGGCCAAAGACGAATGATGGTTGGCACCAAAAGGAGCTGAAGGATTTCTTCAAGGAGGTCCATGAGAAGAAGCAGAACCTCTTCCGCACATTGCTCCATGGTTGCCAAGTAGGAGCTGTGAATGACAAGAATGAGCCCGTGCTGAAGCCCTGGACGATCTATGTGACTGACCGTGCCATGGCTTCCGCTTTGCACCTTGTATGCCCTCATGATCACCAACACGGAGAAGCTATGGGAGGCCAGTCGGCCAAGAAAACAGGCTTCTACCCTCCCCGAATGGTGAGAATCATTGCTAGGCAGATCCTACGACGTGACCTACCCCCTCACGTTGAAACTGTGCAAGAAAAAGATGAAGAGGCACTCTTAGCCTATGGGGTGTCTGAGATTGAGACTGTTGTGCCTGATGGTGTCTCTCCAGTCGAATGGAAGAGAGTTTTAGCATTGGTCAAGAGACTTCATGTCCGAGCAGGTCATCCCTCCACAAGAAGTTTGGTTGCCACCCTGAAAGCGAGAGGAGCACATCCCCTCATCACCTTGGCGGCCAAGTACATGCATTGTGATGACTGTGCAGAGACCAAGCGATCAGTTCCTGCAGCCCGAGCGAGCTTTAATCGTTCGGACACTCTTTGGCACACCTTGCAAGTTGACAATGCGTACTTCAAGGTAGGCACCAAGACGGTGACCGCCATGATCATGGTTGATGAGGCTTCTACTTTCATGGTACCCCATCTCCTACATCGGCTTGACGAAGGAGAACATGAGAATGCCACTGCTGAACAGGTGGTAGATGCCTTGCAGAACTCCTGGATTCGATTCTTTGGACATCCTTCGGTTCTTCGACTTGATCCCGAAGGAGCCTTTCGCTCACGGCTGCTAGAAGACTTTTGCGGCACCCGTGACATCGAGCTTCAGCCTTGTGCAGCTGAAGCCCACTATCAGATCGGTGTTGTGGAGCGTGCCATTGGGACACTAAGGAAATCGGTGGAGCGCTTCCTTCGCAGCAACGCAGTTGATCCCTGGGAGGCCATTGTGACCATGTGTGCAGCTCATAATGAAGTTGGAAAGATTGCGGGTTTTTCTCCAGCTCAATGGGCACTGGGACGTTCCTTGGGCATCGATGAGAAGATTCATGAGAGCGGAAGAGAAGCTACGAGTTTCCATGAGTCTCAACGAGCTTCACAAGACAGAGTGCAAAAGACCATGGTCCTTCGTCTCAAGGCTGAGCAAGAGTACAAGAAGAACATGGCTCAAGAGGCCATCAATCGAGCCTGGAACTCCAAGGCTCAAAAGCGTGAGATTTGGACTCCTGGCACACTCATTTACTACAAGCGGTATAAGGCACCTTCCACGTCTTTGGCGTCACACAAGGATGTTGATGTGACAAGACGACAAATAGCTCGCTGGTATGGCCCAGGTCGTGTGGTCGCTACTGAGAGCTTCTTGGACGGCGACTCAGCGAGGCCTGGTCACATTGTCTGGATTACTGCTGGTGGTCGCTTGAAGCGTGTTGCTCCTGAACAATTGCGCCTGGCTAGCGAGACAGAGAAGATTCTGGCTGAGGCTGACGGTCCACCTCGCTTTGACTGGACCATTCAAGGTATGCTGCAAGAAGTTGATCGTGGACAATTTGATGTTTACGATGATTTGCTGCAACCGAGCCCTGCGACTCCGGCCCGGCGATCTCGAAGCGCAGCGCCACCAGTGAGAGGCAGCTCAGCTAGGAGTAGGACCCCTGTGATGAAAAGAGAAGAACCAACAAGATCGCATGTAGATCCCATAAGCCGCAAAAGACCTCAAGAAAATTCGGATGTTCGACCATTAGGAGATTCGAAAAGAAAGAGCGGCAAAGAGATGCCACTAGGGACTGGTCAGGCACAGTCGGCATCGGGTTCAGTGAAAGGGACATCACACCCTGGAGGCTCTAGAATGGTTTCTCTTGAAGCGACTCCTAATGCCCCATCCTTAGCTAGCTCAGATTTTTCGCCCGGCCGCTATCTCAGCGACCCTTCCTGCGAATTTCCAACTAGCCATGGAGCTGCTGGCAAGAGCTGGACTGGTGAGCTCAAACGCAATGAGCTTTTCAAAAAGGCTCAAGAACGGCACGGTGAAGCGAAGATGGTTGAGGAAACCTCATTTGCTTGCGAGTCACTTCAACCTGAAGATGGTCAAGGTGAACCTCCTTTGTTTGTTGCCATGTCTTTGGAGCTGCCCACAGATGAAAAGAGCATGAAGCAGTTCAAGCGAGACCCAGTGACTTGGACAGCGAACAAGTTGAAGAAACATGTTGAAGTGAAGATGGAGCATCTTACTCCAGAACAAGTTGAAGACATGAAGAAGGCCAAGTCTTTGGAAGTTGGTCAATGGATCCAAGCGGCTGCCTGCAAAGCTCTTGAGGGGCACCAGATCGCTCCTCGCAGCCGGACCATGCGGATGCGCTGGGTTTTGACCTTCAAGTCCTCTGGCGCAGCGAAGGCTCGAATAGTGATCGTAGGTTTTAGTGACCCCGACCTTGGAAGCCTTAGTACGACTAGTCCAACAATGAGTAGACGCACTAGACAACTCATGATGACCATGGCTTCTTGTTGCGGTTGGTCACAAGTGAAATGCGATGCCAAAAGCGCATTTTTGCAGACTAGCGAGAACACCGAGGAACACCGGAGTGTGTTCGCAGTGCCAGTTCCAGAGCTGGCAATGGCCATGGGAGTTGAACCAGGCAGGGCAGTCCAGGTGGTTAAAAGCTGTTATGGTCTTTGCAATGCCCCTCACCAATGGTACCTCGAAGTTAGAAACAAGATCCTTGAATTAGGAGGTGAGGCTTTGAAGACGGAACCCTGCTGCTGGAGGATCAAAGATCCTTCCACGAACTCGGTCGTTGGCCTTGTAGGAAGCCATGTAGATGATTTCTATATGATTGGGGACGATGGAAACGAAACGTGGAACTTGTTTTTGCATCGTTTTAAGGCTTCATATCGTTGGAGTCCTTGGGAGTGTGATTCATTTGACCATTGTGGAGTTCAATTGCATCAAACCCCAAGCAAAGAAATCATTTTGGATCATGCAAAATTCTGCACTGGCATACAGCAAATTAGCATCACCACTAAAGACCCGAAAGCACCAGCCACTCCTCAAGAAGTTGAGCAACTTCGAGCCGTTTTGGGCGCGGCACAGTGGCGTGTGGTCCAGTCTGGACCCCAGCACGGGGCCAAGTTGAGTCAGTTGCAGAGCAGGATCACCAAAGCTGATGGCCAAACATTGGCTGAAGCGAACAAATTGGTGAGAGAGATTTACAATGATCGCATGCTTTCTCCCAAAACCCAAGTGTTGGAGTGTTCCCCTGACGAGGTTGAATTTGTTGCTTGGAGTGACGCTGCTTTAGCCAACAGGGTTGACATGGGTAGTACTGGTGGTTACGTTGTTGGTGCCACTACCAAAGACCTTCGAGAAGGAAAGAAAGCACGCGTGAACTTTGTAGGTTGGAAAACCTTCAAACTCAAAAGGATCGCAAGATCCAGCCTAGCGGCAGAGGTGCAAGCCTTTTCGGAGGCTGAAGAGGAACTTATGTTCACGAGACTCCAGTGGGGCGAAATGCTCGGTCATGACCTCGATCCTCGATCTCCTGAAGATGTGTTGGTTCGTGTTCCTGGGATTCATGTTACCGATGCCAAGTCCCTCTATGACTCGGTTCAGAAGGGTTTGGTGAACACAAGCGGTTTAGGACTTTCCGAGAAGTACAGTGCTTTGGAGCTTTTGTCGGTGATGGAACGCTTGGACAGAGGTCACACGGAGACTCGTTGGGTGAATTCTGACGCTCAAATGGCGGATGCTTTAACAAAGCATCAATGTCAGAGCTCCTTGCATCAAGCTTTGGTTCAGGGACATTGGATCCTGGTCTATGATCCCCTTTTTGTTTCTGCCAAGAAGCGAAAGGCAGCTAAGCTAGGTCCAAAAGCTTAGGGGCGTGTGATTGTTTGTTTCCTTTGCTTCCTGAACCTTGTTTGATTGCTTGTGGACGCCGCTTTCGCTACCTTTCAAGGGATCCCTTCCGCCATTTGTCTTTGCATCCAATGCGATGGCTACGCGCGCTTGCTGAAAAGGCTGCTGTGGTGCGGCTGTCTTCACGAAGCGGAGGCTTCGATTTGCTACCGAAACCAAAAGCACCAAATCTCAATGGAAATCTCCAAATTTTGAATAGAAATCTCCATCCAAAAGCCTCCAACAGCATCAAATCTCAATGGAAAGCTCAAATTTTTTATTAGAAATCTCCATCCAAAAGCCTCCAAAAGCATCAAATCTCAATGGAAATCTCCAAATGTTGAATAGAAATCTCCATCCAAAAGCCTCCAAAAGCATCAAATCTCAATGGAAATCTCAATTTGTTTATAGAAATCTCCATCCAAAAGCCTCCAAAAGCATCAAATATCAATGGAAATCTCCGAATGTTTAATAGAAATCTCCATCCAAAAGCATCCAAAAGCATCAAATCTCAATGGAAATCTCAAATTGTTTAATAGAAATCTTTATCCAAAAGCATCCAAAAGCATCAAATCTCAATGGAAATCCCCAAATGTTTAATAGAAATCTCCATCCAAAAGCCTCCAAAAGCATCAAATCTCAATGGAAATCTCAAATGGTTTAATAGAAATCTCCATCTAACAGCCTCCAAAAGCATCAAATCTCAATGGAAATCTCCAAATGTTCAATAGAAATCTCCATCCAAAAGCCTCCAAAAGCATCAAATCTCAATGGAATCTCAAATTGTTTAATAGAAATCTCCATCCAAAAGCCTCCAAAAGCATCAAATCTCAATGGACATCTCCAAATGTTTAATAGAAATCTCAATCCAAAAGTCTGTAAGATAAGCAAATCCCAGCAAACTCAACCCCTCCAAAAAAAATAAAGACATTATTCTAGGGGCCTTTATAAATCAGTGCAGGGAAAAAACAATACATTATTCTGGGGGGGTTTATAAATCTGAGGGCCACATTATTGTTGTTCAATTAATATGTGTTGTTTATTAATTGAAAAGCCTAGTAGGTGCTGGTCCTCAATTAATTTCTTCAAAAACACCCGAAATTAATCCATGCGGCCCCCCTTGGGAAATTATTTGAGGGGGTGGGGTCACCTCTTGATATAACTTTGAAATACTTGTTTCAATAATTATTTGACTGAGGTGGGGTGTCGGATGGGTCCAGAAATAGAGTTCAACTTGACGTGTCGGTGGGTCAAAAGAATTACAATTTTTTTAGGTGGCAGGAATCCAAAATACTGTTTCAAGGAATCAGGATGAATCAGGTATGTGATTCTTGAAATCGGTTTTATTAGTATAAAGAGTAGCAGAAATTTGAAGAGGTATCTTATACCCTCAACTACTTAGGGTCTGAAATCAGTACACCCCGGGGTCCTGGAGCCAAAGCTGGAAGTTGATGGATTTCTGTAGACCAGTAAAAAACAATATTATCTATTTGGGGTGCCTTCGGGGGTCCCCACCCCCCAAATAATATAGATAGGGTGGTGGACCCTGGGAGAGCTCGAGGACACTGGGTGCCTTGGGGAGTCCCCCACCCTCCAAATAATATAGATAGGGTGGTGGACTCTAGGAGAGCTCGAAGACACTGGGTGCCTTGGGGAGTCCCCCACCCTCCAAATAATATAGATAGGGTGGTGGACTCTGGGAGAGCTCGAGGACACTGGGTGCCTTGGGGGGTCCCCCACCCCCCAAATAATTTAGATAGGGTGATGGATTGCTTTCTTTGCGATGAGATCTGTAGAGTTGCCATGTGTCTTTGCGCATGAGTTTGTTGAAATTATTTGAGAGGTGGGGTAGGGTTCTGGCATACCCCTTATGTTGAGCTACAAGAATTTTGTTGGAATGTGTTTTTGTGGTGTCTTGAATTTTTGTGGTGAGAGGTGCTTCACCTCTCAACATAATTATGGGGGCTCCCCGTCAGGGACCACCAAAATAATTTTGTTATTACTTGGGAGGTGGGACCACCCGTAACACCCTGAAGCGGGGGAGCATATTAATCCTAATTAACTTTTTTAGGTAGAGACTCTAGAAAAACGACTAGAAAAGCATCATACACCACACCTTCAGAAATTAATTGGGAGGTAGGGTGTGTCTGTCAATTAACGTTTGTTCAATTAATATGTTTATGGATTATTTGGCAGGCCTAGTAGGCGTTGGTTCCAAAATAACTTACTGTATCTAAAACACTCGAATTTAATCTCAATTAGTTTTTCAGTTGGAGACATACACCAATCACTAAGCAGCTATTTGGTTTCTAAATGGTCTTGAGTTTCCACTACAAAACAATGGCCGCGCGATGCAAGTCCCAGTCATTAGTTCGCAGTGGAAACTCAAGGTTCCTTTTTTGTCAAAAATTAAAAGGTGTTCCTAGGGCATTAGCCATGAAGCTAGTGTAGGAATACACAAGCATGGAATCAGGCAAAGGAATTAGGGTCAACATAGCAAACCTCAAAGTAGCTAGTGTTTTCACTTTTTGCTGTTGAACTCCAGGAGTCAACTCCGGTGTTTAAACAAGAAACACAACTTTAAATTCAACTCCAACTGTAGAATTAAAATACTATAAAAAACATATAAACAAATAATGAACCCCATAGAGCAAGCAACGTTGCCATGAAGGTGTTTGCCTCCTTGAACGGCATGAGAAACATCATGTGAACTGTTGTCACCACATTCGCTGGAACGGTTCCCCCAGGAACAATTCTCTGGCCAGCCTTGGTGTTTTTGTTCCGGCCGCACCTCCAAAACCCAACCACCACCCCAAAACGAATTCCAGACATTGCGCAGGACGAGAAAGGTCTCACGACCAAGACCTGCCTCGAATCTTGGTAGGCCGCCACTGTGGTTCCAACGTTCTTTGGAACCTTGATGCTGTAGCTGTCTCCGGCGAAGTCTCTTCAACCTGCTTGATGACCCGATTGTCATAGTCCTTCCACATTGTCTGCCGCGATTGGCGCGGCGCAATGCGGAACATTGGAAGGCCTGGCGGGCCAATGCCAGGGAATACTCTCGCATATTGTGCTTCGGGGCGCTTGGGGCCGAGGACCGTTGCTTTGCTCAAAACACCTTCGCGGACTCGGACGAATGCGCAAAAGTTGAGGAACTGTCTGGCCAACTTCCGCGCTGTCAAGTCTTCCTAAGGCTGAAAACCATTCAACCCTGCGCTCTGGAGAACATCCGCTAGTGTGAAGACTGCTGTGTCTGTGAGTTTTGAATCGCACGAGTTGTCCTCCTCGGCCTTTCCTCCTCATGAGCTTCAACAGGATCACACTCTGGCAATCACCTGTGCTGGAGCTTGCCTCCTGCGCTTGTAGTTTCTCAATCTCCTTCTCAGCCGGGATAATGTCAGCTACGGAGGTCAGACTGTTTAGCAAATTCTTTTCCTCCTGCTGCTCAGGAGCAAGCGCACCGTTTGCTTCCTCGTTGCAATCCTCATTCTCTGGCAAGTCATCCTCATCGCAACCATCCAACGGGTTGGATAAAAGCAAATCCTGGCCGATCTGCTTCCACCATGCCTCGTATTCAGCACGGATCTGACTGGCCTTCTTCCCGATGGAAAAGCAGCTTGCTAGAAGACAAACTTGGTCCAGCGCAATTGGTGCCAAAGTGGCCACATCGACAGGCTGAGCAAGCAATCTAGTTGAGGATGCCTGCCAAACATGGTGTTATGAAAGTTATTTGGGAGGTGGTTGGGCAGTGAACCACCCCCTAATTAATGTCAACCCCGGATTAATCTGCCCCCCCCCCAACGTAGAAGGTCAACAAGGTCAAGAAGGTATGAGATACCACTCATGAGGTCCACTCCTCCTGAATTATCGGCTCAGGGAGCCATCATAGTCGCAGCCGTCGTCGGTAGTAGGTAGTAGGTAGTAGTAGGTAGTAGGAAGTAAGTAGTAGGTAGTAGGTAGTAGTAGGTAGTAGTAGGTAGTAGGTAGCAGGTAGTAGTAGGTAGTGGTAGGTAGTAGTAGGTAGTAGTAGGTAGTAGTAGGTAGTAGTAGGTAGTAGGTAGTAAGGTAGTAGTAGGTAGTAGGTAGTAGGTAGTAGGTAGTAGGTAGTAGTAGGTAGTTGTG